TAGTCTATGCAGATATAGCAAGCTATAAAACTGCTCTCTATGCCTTTAAGACAAACGTTTTAAATTCGATCCCAACGCTGCTGGATAAACGATTACCGATGTCACTAGTACCTCGAGAATCACTGTTGGCGGTCATAGACGCTGTATATAAAAGTCAAAAAGAAGAAAACCACCGTTTGACCCTTGCAATACCGCCAAGCGATGTCCACTCATATTATGACGCGAAACTGCTTCGCGATGTCACGACAATTGAGGAAGGACTTCTGCTCAATCTGGCAATACCATACGCATCGAGTCAAACAGCCTTCCAGATGTACCGGGCACAGGTGATACCTATGCCACAAGCCGATCCAACCGAAGCCATAAAATGGGTCACTGAAGGATCCTATCTGGCCATATCGGAGGACTCCATGGAAACGACCGTTCTGACAGAAGAGCAGTACGCTAATTGCCTTGGAAGCTCGACGTACCGGATCTGTCACCAGACAATGGAGACACACTTGGGACAATCATCGTGCCTGGCAACGCTATATTTCCACTCCACGATGACAGCGCTGACGGTTTGCGAGACCGAAAAGGTTCTCCTCCCAACGCCGGAGAAAGCGACCAACCTTGGATATGGAATTTGGCTAATCACCTCAGCCAGTGCTGCGTTCTCCTTGCGGGAGTACAGTCTTGACGAACTGAACACTCCCAAACGAGAAGACCACCCCGGCTGTAATATCTGCCTAATAACATTGGACTGTGGGACACAGTTAATAAGCAAATTCATAAAGATCAGACCGGATTTAGATAGCTGCGACAAAATCCCTGCCAAACGAATCAGCGTATCTCTACCGGACCCGCTAGCACACTTGATTTCAGAACTGCCAGACTTATCTGACCTACCATACTACGAATCCAAAACTGACGCCGGAGTAAAATTACTCAGAGAAGTTAAAGCGAAACTCATAGACAGTCCACATTTGACAAAAGTCGATCAGCTGAACGAGATAGCAAAACCCATAGCACACAATATGCGATTGCTCAAACCTAGCCTTGTGGACAAAATGGAACAGTATGTACCATTACGGCTCTCCCTTACACTGACAGCAATAGTCTTTTTGGGGAATCTTGTCCTGCATGCACTCATCATGTACCTGTATCATCGGTTTGCAATCTTCAGAAAACTGACTCCAAAATTCTTGAAGTCCAACGCCGGCAACATACAGCTAAAACCGGTTCTGTCAGTAGCAGCAGCGCATCGAAATGAATTTATGGAACACGGATCAAAGATTCGTGAAAACTATATGGTCCTGACCCAAGGAGAAATGGAAGCCTGTCAGACACCGAAAGCCTTATCCAGACGGACATCAGCTTGCTCGTCAATGGGGGTAGTAAACGGGAACCTCGAACAAAATACACGTCCGAACACAGAAAGAGAGGAGAGTTTCAGCCAAATTTGACCAGTTACTGGTATTCATTGAACTCACATTCATAAATCACCTATAAGACTGACTGCGTGGCTTCCATTAACTGTTATTTGAAAGTATACTATTGCTACTAAAAAGAATTAAATACCACTTAATTTTATGTGTATTAGGGACAACCATTTGCGTATATTTGAGTTCCACTAATCTAGTTTCCAATATCGCCTATTTAGTCTAGTTAAATTTATGCATAAATTTATTAAGTGCTCGTGCAACTCTCACTAGACATCCAAATGTAGTTAATTAATCAACATGCTCAGTTAAGTTATTGATTCATTTATCCATCGATCTGTGCCTTGCTCAATAATTAACCGTCAGGAAAGAATCAACAAGTGTGTAAGTGTAACATAGTGCTACTCGCCTATGTTAGTCATTCTTAACTAGTTACCATAATTGGAGCATATTAAATATTCAATTGCTATTCTAAATGTCAATGTGAAAGTGTTAAATGATATTTGTTTAATGTAAACAATAAACTGATGAATGTTCAGTATAATTGAGAGAGCCATTATAATCAGGAGCTCGCTAAAAGGAGACAATTCAACTAGTAACACTCACTTCTAATCTTAAGCTCAGACACTAGCGAAGGTTGAAACTGACATCACAAAGCGCATCCCTGAGTTGAAGATTCACTAGCCTAGACCACACATCCAACATACATACATACTTCAACACTCTAGAAAGCATTCCTCAATCAACCAATCGATTATAGCCAGTAAAGGTATATAACACGCACCATGCAGAAAACACAAGACTAATTTGAATGAAAAGAGTTAGTGTTTTTTACACAAAATTTGCGTTTCTTTTTCCACCTCCACTGCTGGCAGTGGAATACCAAGTAATTTTTAATGGGAAGTTCTTACTCTTGCGATAAGCAAAGGTTTTGTACCGTGTACTAGTTTTTTCTTAAAAACAACTGTCCAACGGATCACTTCTAGATCACTTCAACTTTGTCCAACGGATCACTTCTACCGGGTACTAGAATTTTCCTATAAACAACTTTGTCCAACTGACCACATGCTACCGGGTACTAGAATTTTCCTATAAACAACTTTGTCCAACAGATCACTTCTGTCGAACGGATCACTTTTCAATTTTTATCCATTTAATTGCACCATAGAAATCTAAAAAAGGGCTGAAAAACTCAGCGTACGCCATAATTACTTTGCACTTCATGAAGTTTTTTTTTTATGACAATTTTAACAGCCAGGTATTGATTTGAATTGAGGCCTTATTTCTTTATAAGTTTACTGTTTGCTGCTGGCCTTGCTCAGTTGAAACTTTTTTTTTGTAATTTAAGATTTTATTGTTCCGACCATTTGAAAAATGTGGGGGAATTTTGTATTCGTGTGTGTTTTATTTTTTTTTGTTCTCCACGCATAATCAGGTACCAATAAAATGATAGGAATGAGTCGAATGATATATCATACTCAAGCCCTTTCAATCGCAAGTGAAAGGCGTTAACATTTCCCAAATTTTTTTTCTAGTGTCGAGAAAAACCAGTGCAAAATTTTTATTTTTCTAATTTCGAGCGAGTGAAGCGAGCTAGCATGCTCATTCATGCTTAACACAGGGTAATTGCAATAGCTTACTTCTGCTTAATTTTTGAGTATAATTGGTTTTTGGAGTTTTATTAACGTCATTTCGAGAGTCGAAAACTCAAAAAATGTCAGCAAAAAACCAAAAAAAAAATTGATATTTTTCTTATGATTTTTTTGTTTTTTTTAGTCATTTTTCTTAAAAAAAAAACTGTTGTCCAGTTTGCCTTTTTTATGGCTGTCGAATATGCTTATGTGGCAGTTTTTTGTTCATTCTTTTTATCGCACCATGCAGAAAACACAAGACTAATTTGAATGAAAAGAGTTAGTGTTTTTTTATACACAAAATTTGCGGTTCTTTTTCCATCTCTACTGCTGGCAGTGGAATACCAAGTAATTCTTAATGGGAACTTCTTATTCTTGTGATAAGCAAGGGTATTGCTACCGGGTACTAGACTTTTCCTATAAACAACTTTTTCCAACGGATCACTTCTCTAGAGGCTTTTCCTTTTTTAAATTAGGATCAGGATCTTCACTTTGTTCACTTCTTTCACTTGAATAGTGTTTAGTTCAAGTCCGTTTCAGGTTGTTATTATCTTTTCAAACAAATTTTTGTTTTTTTTTGGGTCCGTGGTTTTCGTCCTAGCTTTTGTCGGTTCATTTTCCGTTGTTTTTATCTAGTAGGGTTTTCATTGGGTTGCTCGCTTAAGCATGGATTGTTTTCCAATTTAAACAGTTTTTACTGTCACTGAAACTTCACAAATTTGTAAATTTAATGTCTGCTTTTTTTTCTTTTTAATCGTTCTTTTTTCTAATTTTCAAACAGTTTAATTTTTTTTTACCGACTTAGTCAACTTATTTTAAGTAATTTTGAGGGCAACATGTATCCGCTTGGAATTGTATTTCAATTTGGATGGGTCGTAAAAAGTTATAAAATTTATGAAATTTTTTTATGACAACAGATTTGTTTTCGAGTCAACAGGTTTCGACTCAAAGTTTGTCGCCGTTGTTGCCGCTCGGTAAATGATTTCGATTTTTTTAAGGGCTGATTATAAACTTTATCCGATAAAAATATGAAGCTTTTGTACCTGTGGTTTTTCAACTTTTGTCAAGTTATTTTTTTAAGTAATTTTTTCCAACAAAAGTTTTTTTTTGACTTCTGTCTTTTTTTCGTTCACATTTTTGTACCGCAATTTGCTTTTTTTGCATCGCAAGTGATGCGAAGCTCCGCTTCGCCTCTGTGCATGGAATTTTTTATGCTATTCAGGCCTGCTATTTTTGTTTTTGGTGCTTCGCCGAAACACAATAAAGAATATAGTTTGCAAGCATTGTGTTATAAAAAATCAAAAAATGGCTTCTTTTAAACTTTATTTGGAGGGTTGCGACAAAAAAACGCGTTCTTGTGGAGCACTGTCTTTTTTAAAAATTTCTTTTAGGCGTCGAGGGCATATTCAATCTGTTTCGGTTCGGTTATTTTCCCGTACATATTTTTGGCACGCAGCTTGTAAATGAGGAATTTTGATCCCGTTCCTTTTTTTGTATCAGATCTTATATGATTTTTCTTTCGGTGCATTGGCTGGCTGCCTAATTTGACCATCGAATCTGAAGGAATGCTTTGTACCACTTTTTTAATGAGATATTTGCTAAGTAAGCGTTTTTTTCGGAATCAACCACAACAAATCATAGTTTAGTCAATTTTTTTCTCGAATCGGACACCAAAAAAATGTGCAGAATTGTTTCTAACGCGAGAGTCACAGATTGAACGTTTGGAGAGACACGAAATATTTTCACTTTCGACACGTTTTTTGTCCCTGCAACATCGTCATTTATTTTTTTTGCACTTTTATTCTTGTTTAAATAAACGCTGATCTGCTTTAATGCAAAGAGAAAGAGCGAAAATTTGTAAAAAAATTAAACAGAAAACCAAGCTAATGAGTGGTTGAGTTTTCTCAGCATTCTTGCATTGTATCAGCGATGTTTTCTTGCTTTAAAGGAGGCCCTCCGTCACCCTAAACGAAGGCTGATTCGGGACAGCAAGAAGAGTGGACTGAGTCTGCTGGGGTCCAACAGGTTCTCCACTCACCACTTCACCCTCTTCAGCGACATGCTAGTCCATCAGCAGTTCTCAAACCACGAGGTAACAAAAAGACCACCAGCACTTTCTTAAGTTAATGACAAATTGCTGGCAATATGGGTGACCTTAGGCATCTTGATTGCTCGAAAAACGATGCTTTTTAGATTATTAACTGTAAAAGAACGAAGTGATTGATTTTTACTTGTATAGTTTGTGATGATTTTTTTCTTTCAGGAAAATGTCTGAAAACGCTCCTTTAACTACAGAATTTAATTATGAATGAACTTAGGTATAGATGCACAGAAATGAATGCACTTAGTATATATGCACCTTTCGAGCTCAAAGTTAGGTAAAAAGACTTTAGTTTCGTAAGTGGGTGTTAATTTTGATGTTTCGCAGCTGAATAAAATTTTTCTAGCAATGATCCTGTTCTCTTAAACTGGGTTCATTTTATCAAAAACGTCCTTCAATCTGATATATATATATTTTTTTTTTCGAAAAAAGTTCAAAGATTTTTTTTGTGGTTTCTTTATTCTTTTAAACTTCTCCAACCTATGTTTTCAAAATTATTTTTCTTTTAGTGTTTTAGTGTTTTTTTTCTGGAAGAAGTTATAAAGTTTTTTGACTCTCACAGTAGATTTTTTTTGCGGTTTGGGTTTTGATTTGTAAGTTCAATTCACTTACTTTGTTCAAAGGAAGAAAATTCACTATCGATAACGTGATTTACTTTAGTTTTGTGATTTCATTGCTGAATAAAAAATAACTTATTGATCCAGATTTTTTTAAAATGGGATAACTTCGAAAAAACAGCGCCAATCATGAAAAATTTTTAAAGTTAAAAGATCTTCAGTGTGATATATTTTTTCCTTCGCATTTTCTTTCGGTTTCCTTTTTCTTATAAACTTTTGCGACCAGCCTCGGCTATATTATAGATTTTTTACACTTTTTGTTCCGACCATTGAAAATGGGGAGGAAAGTTGTATTCGGGTGTGTTTTAGTTTTTTTCTTTTTATTTTCCACGTAAAATCAGCTAACACAAATAATCATATGACTGGGCCGTGTGCTATATCATATTAAATCCCTTTTAGTCGTAATTCGAACGACATTTAAAAATTTTTAAAATGTTTTCCCAGTGTCGAGAAAAACCGGTTTGAAGTTTTTGATTTTTCGTCTAATTTCGAGCGAGTGAGCAGGCCTACATTAGCTTATTTATGCTTAATTTAGGCTTTGAAAATTCAGTTTCTTACTCAATTGAAGTTAGTTTTTGGAGTTTTTTTGCTTCATCTTAGGAATCAAAAATTTAGGAAAAAGTTTTTGAACAATTAAAACAATTATTTAATTTTTGTTTTGTTTTTCATGTTATTTGTCTTCAAAAATTGTTTTCCAATTTGCATATTTTACAAGGGCTGACGGAAATGCCTAAGCTCTACTTTTTCGCACATATACCTTTATCACACCACGCCGAAAAAAAAACGACCCTAGTTTGAAAAAATAATTTTGCAATTTTTTAAGACTGGTCGGAACATTCTGTGCTATTTGCACAGTAACCGGCTATCCTTGCTTTTCTTTCTTTCCAGACAAAAGAGCATGACGTCAGAAGTCAATTAACTTTGTTGAGATTCGATGACCGAAAAGGTTATTGGCAATAATTTTGCATTATCAATAAAACTTGTGTAATCGCATTGATCCAGTAGTTGCTCACTTGTTGGAACTATCCGTCTCGGTCAACGAATCTGAACGACGTTAATTTAACTTAGACAACACAATAGCCCAAGCTTTTCAATTTGGTAACTTCTTTTGAGAGACCTTAGAGGAAAATTTCGAGATGCGCTAAATTTTTGAAATGCTGCATGGCTTTGTGGTTATCTTGGGATTCGAACCAAATTTCTCAGGACTGAGTCAAACTAACCCACTACTAATTCAGATTGTATGGTTTGGTTTGAAAAATTTGTTATATCGAAGAACTGAAATGAAGTTAGTGAATGTTTTGTTGTTCAGCGAACCGAAAAATTCTGTGGAGAGTTTACAACTTCAGTACTTAGTTCAGCAGGTTGCTGATAATCCTCTGCGCTTTCTGTGCTGCTATTGATTGCGTTCACGAGATTTAAATTATTTTAAAAATCTTGATGAAAAATCGTTTCAGTAGCTTATGTAGAGATGGGCGGGTGCAAAATTCCTCCAAAAAATCGACAAAATTTATCGAAAAAAGTTCATCCCCAAATCGGTGCCCTCTTTTCGAGTCTAGCTAAATTCCCACATAAACGCGATGCCGAAACCACATGTTTGCATTTCAAATTAGTGAGCAATTAGGTGTAGGTTTGACCGCGTTTACAGATCATTTTGTCATACTTGTATCCCATTAGAGGGCAATGATCTACTCAAATATCCTTCCTTGCTTGGTCGGAGTGTTTTGTTGCTGTATCAGTTAATCGAGGTTCAACGAGATAGAAAGTTCACTGGTTAAGTTCACTCTGTGACCATTACGGCGTTATTCATGAACTAAAGCGCAAAGATCGCTGACATTGTAGTAATTTATTTTAATGGTATCACGAACGAATAGACATATGGACTTAAAGACATAATGCGCTCGCTTGCTTTCTATTACTTTTTATGATTTATTGAATTATGTACTCAGTTTCCTATTAACATTTATCTATGCGCAACTGCTCAGCAAACAGCTTAAGTGCCAGGTAATTCGGAGGAACGTTACCATGATCACCTGTAAAAATACATGAAATTATTGTATCAGTTTTTTATGATCTCCATAAAGATTAGGACGGCAAAAGATTTTTATCCCGGCCATTTCTGAAATAGGTGCAGACAGAGGCGGATCTAGGATTTTCAAGAGGGAGGGGGACTGCTTTTTCCCTTTTTGGTAAAATTTTCTGCGCCGCAGGCAAAGTTTTGAAAAAACAGGCCAAAAATTCGCGTTTTTTCGGCGCGCGTTCCTATCTCAAAATTAGTATATATTGGCGCCTAAGGCGCCTTTAGAAAATTTTTAGGGTCCATCACCAAAAATGGATATTGGAAAATATTACAAAGGGGGGGACCCAGGGGGTTGAATCCCTGAGGAGGGGGGCATCCGCCCCCCTTAAATCAGCCCCTGGGTGTAGAGAAAGTGTGGGTAGGGATTCCCCAAGTTTAATTGCGTCAACGACGCTGAAAAAAGTACTGTTGAGGTATCATTTTCAAGTCTTTGTTCAATGAAAATATTAAAAGTTCATAACATATTTATCTGTCCGCTTAGAATTTGGGTTCCGTGGAATGTAAAAGCGCGGAAAAAGCCAGTTCATGTTTTTTTTAAATCGAAATTACTTTTCGATTTATAATGTAATTATATTTACAATGATAGAGTGCTATGTTTTTACTAGCTTCAGTTTTGTGTATTATTAAGAACCTTCTTTTTTTCTAACCTAAGTCGCAAATATTGGTGCCACTTTTGGGGCAAAAGTTCATGCCATATTGATCTGTCCGTTAAATTTGTCTTCTGTAGAGTGTATAGTAAGTTGTCGAAGAAATTTCTATCGAAAATAAAAACTCCTAGCTGTTAAATGTTTTTAATTTGCATGCAGAGTTCTCTTCCAAGCATATTGAGTTTTCCTCTCCGCTTTTCAAGGACTCTGATGTAGTTAACGATGATTTTTTTTTCGTTTTTTTCCAGGAAAAATTAAAATTTGTTTAGGCTCAAATTTACTTTTTCACGGTTTGACCTCTGATTTTTTTTTAAATTGAGTTCATTTCGTTTGTTGAAAGAAAAGGAAACTCCACTATCGAACTGCGAAAGTGTAGAAGTCCCGAAAAATATGATCAACTTTTAGTTTTAAAAGTGGAGTTTAATTTTCAAGGTTTACCAGTGAAACAAATTGTCACTTATTGATCCAGTTTTCTGAAATTGGGTTGGGTTAATTTTATCAAGAAAGTGCCAATCATAAATTGTTCTAGAATTTCAAAGAATTTTAAGGTCATCCATTGATTTCTAAGAAATTCGAAAAATGTCATTTTTCAAAAATCAAGTCAGTAATTTTTCTGCTTACTTGCGTTCATTTTTTCTTTTCCAACTGTGTTTTGGCTATGTTTCCACCATTGCTATAAACTTTTTGCTCCAGTGCAAAAATAGTAGCTTTATATGCTATAACTTTTCTTATCTTTTTGATATGCAACTTGTCTTTTTTCCATTACGATCTTTCTGTCCGATTTTGGTCCGAATTTTTATAGAGTAATGAACGCAGTGAGTTATCTATACTGTATTTAATTCCGTCTGACATGTATCTTGCCATGTGTTGGCGTTTTTTTGCAAGAGTTAAGGGCACAACGTATTTATACGTGGTTAGGCTATATCGTATATTGCATTGCTTAATTTTTTTTTTCGATTTTCCGGTGTGAATCTAATGTTTGTTCCACCGAGTTATAAGGTTACAACAAAATAGTGGGATGGTATCAGAGTTCTTCCAGGGTTGCAAATTTGGTCTCCAATTATGAATGCCCAAGTCCTTTTAGTTTACGAAATACGACGATTTTTGTGATTTTTCAAAATTTTTCAGAAATCTCAATTTACAAAATTATTCATAAAACTTGAAATTCCCAACCCTGTAGTTCGGTGCTGTCAGAGTACTCTCAAGGCTTGCGAATCTTGTCTCCAAATATGACGTCTCACTTTTTCGTAGTTTTCGAGATATGACGTGTTTAATGATTTCTTTTTAATTTGAAATCCCTAATCTTGTAGTTGGGTACTGCGAGGGTACTCTCAGAAATTTCAAAATCAAACGCGTCCAAATGCGACTGCTAAAATGCTAGTTATCGAGTTGGACGTTTTTTGTGATTTTTCAAAAAATTTACAGAAAACTCAAGTTTGTTTTTTTTTTCAAATTTTTAAATGCTCAACGCGATTTGGGGGCTGTCAGAATCCTATCGTGGGTTGCGAATCTCGCTTCCAGATTTGACTGTTCAAATATTTGTAGCCTACGAGATATGACGTTTTTTTTGTGATTAAAAAAAAATCAGAAAACTTCAATTCGTTTTTTTTCTTCAAATTTTGAAATTCCGAATCCTTAACTTGGAAGCTGTCAGAGAACTCTTTATGTTGCGAATATCGCCTCCAGATATGGCCACTCAAATCTTGTAAGGGGGGTTGTCAGCGTTATTTCAGTGGTTGCGAATCTTGACGTTAAACTTGGCTGCTTAATTCTTTCTAGTGTTAAAGATAAGACAAATTCGATTTTTTCAAAAAAAAAACTTTCAGAAAACCTAAGTTTAAATTTTTTTGAAGTTTTGAAGTTTTCAACAAGTTAGTTAGGTGCTGTCGGGTCACTCAATAGGGTTGCATTTATCTCCTCCACATATGACTGCTGAAGTTTTTGAATTTTCGAGGTGCGACGATTTTATGGCTAAAAATTTACAGAAAACTCAAGTTTGTTTTTTTTCTTCAAATTTTTAAATGCCCAACGCGATTTGGGGGCTGTCAGAATCCTATCGTGGGTTGCGAATCTCGCTTTCAGATTTGACTGTTCAAATATTTGTAGCCTACGAGATATGACGTTTTTTTGTGATTTAAAAAAAATTCAGAAAACTTCAATTCGTTTTTTTTCTTCAAATTTGGAAATTCCTAATCCTTAACTTGGAAGCTGTCAGAGAACTCTTTAATTTGCGAATATCGCCTCCAGATATGACCACTCAAATCTTTTTAATTTTCGAGATATGACGTTTTTTTTTAAAGATTTTTCTGAAGTTTAATTTCTTGAAGCAAAGTTTAATTTAAAGTTTTTTTTCAAATTTTAATTTAGGTTTTAAACCCCTTTCCTTGTAAGGGGGGCTGTCAGCGTTATTTCAGTGGTTGCGAATCTTGACTCCAAACTTGGCTGCTGAATTCTTTTTAGTGTTAAAGATGAGACATATTCGATTTTTTCAAAAAAAAACTTTCAGAAAACCTAAGTTTAATTTTTTTTTGAAGTTTTGAAGTTTTCAACAAGTTAGTTAGGTGCTGTCGGGTCACTCAATAGGGTTGCAATTATCTCCTCCACGTATGACTGCTGAAGTTTTTGAATTTTCGAGGTGCGACGATTTTATGGCTTTTAATTTTTTTTCGAAAATTAAATTTTCTCGAAGTTTGAGTTCCTAAACTGTAGTTGAGCACTCTGAGAGTACTCTCAGGAGCTGCAAAATTTGCATCCAAACGCGACTGCTCAAATGCTTTCAGTTTCAAAGATGTGTCGTTTTTTTATGTCAATTTAAAATTTTTCAAAGAGGTGAAAAACACAAAATTTATTGGTTTTTCAGAATTTGAATTAAAACAACTCATAGAAAAAATCCTAGCTAAATTTGTGCTTGCTGACTTTTTTTGTGCTTGCTGACTTGAGGTGCTGTCAGAGTACACTCAAAGATTGTAGATCTTTTTTTTTTCATTATATGTGGCTTTTTTCATGAGTTCTCGAAGCACCGCAGGTGCATTACACGCTAGTCTTTTATAAGTCTTGCTGACTTTTTTTTTCAGGAAATTCTTAAAATTTATTCACCCTTAGTTTTGATTTTTCGCGCTGTGACTTGAAATTTTTTTTAAAAGTTCAGTGCATTTCCATTGTTAAAACGAAAGAAAACTCCACTATCGAACAGCAAAAGCCTAAAGGTCACGAAAAACGTGATCGACTTCTCATTTCGAAAATTGAAATTAATTATCAGGTTTCCCAGCGAAATAAAAGTTTCACGTATTGATCCAGTTTTCTCAATTTGGGTTAATGTTAGTAAAGAAGTGTCCATAAGATATTGTTTTACAAATTCAAAAAGCTTTAAGGCCATCTATTTTTTTTCTTCGAAGTTCAAAAGTTGAAGGTTCTTGAAAAAACATGTCAGTTTTTTTTCAGTTTCCTTGCGTTCATTACTCTTTTTCAACTGTTAGTTGGCTATGTTTGTACTGTTGTTTCTATTGTTTTCAAGTGATTGGTTTTGTAGTTGTTCAGGTTTTTCATAGTCTATTTGTTTGGTTTTGCTAACAATTTGATTTAACTGTAAATGTGGCTAAATAATTTTTTCGGCTTGAAGATACCGATCTTTCTCAATCAAACATACATTTTGCTGGTGTTGAAAAATTTCGTACCGTTTTGAGTTTTGTCTTCTGAAATCCGCACCGTTTTTCTTCTGGTTATGATGATTGGTATAAATGCTTCATTTTGTTCAGGAAACATTTTCGTCGTAAAAGTATCCGTCAACTCATTGTTCAAAAACAGCTGTAGCTGTTATGGGCCTGCCAGTTTTATTTAAACTCCCATTTATTCGGAATCGGAACAGACGAGATAAATCTTTAGCGGAAATATGATTATATGTACTCTGATACCTCAGATGAAGTATGACTAAAAGTAACCCCATTTAATGGGAAAGTATGTTTACATTTATTGCATAAATGAGAAGAAGAAAGTCTGTAGTGCAGATAGTTTTCAATCAAGTTTCAAGAGCCAAACAAAAACCGAAAGTGTCTATTTCTTCAGTTTAGTCCGGTTTTTCTTTTTCTGAAATCCGTAATTCTTGACTGGCAGTGCAGATATGGTAACATCATTTAAGCACTGTTGATATGGGAATTTGGTACAATATTTATGTGAGATTTTGACGTATTATCTTATCTTAACAGGTGTTCTGGCTGCAGACTATCTGGCTGGAGTCCCTGAAGGACGGGCAGGCGGCCAAGCAGAACTGCATCAAATTGAGCATGCCAGAGGACAAACAGTTTATCCTAGTTGCATCCTCCGCATCAGACAAAGTGAGCGTTTTTCTTTAAATCAACATTTGTATAGACGATATTTATTTGGATTGAATCAATTTTTGGATAGAAAAATATTCAATTTTTTGGAAGCAGTGTCCGTGTATTGATGAAAAGCTTGGCCTGGTGTTATTTTTCTAATTACTATATTATTGATTTATGTGTTCACTTTTTCTCTCCAACTGATAAATTCAAGTTTAGCTCTCTTTAAATGGGCTTGCTAGTTCTTTAGAATATACAATTTGTGGCAATCCCAACTGGCATTAAATTCCTTGATTTTGATTCAAGAATTCATTTGAGTGAGAGTAGTGGTTTTTGAGGACTATTTATGCTTTTTATAGCTCTTTATAGAAATGTTTTTTTAATCGTGTTCTCGCTACTGTTTGCGAAGCGCAGCTTCGCGCTCTGTGTTAACGTGTGCTATTCTTATACTGTTTACTGTTCGGTACAACGATCGAAAGATTTTAAACTATCAATAACATCGTTTCAATTTTAAAAATTGACTGGTCTAAAACTTTTTTCTTTTGCACTTTGAGTGCTGATTTCTGAATGGCTGAAATTATTTTTCGGCATACGGTTCTTCGGCCAAAAAATATTTGCACAATTTTGAAGAGAGTAGTGAATTTAGAGGGAGGGCGGACATATCCCCTCCCCTCTCAGGGATTCGACCCCCTGTTCACCCAAAGGTCTACCTTTGGTACTATTTGACGAAATCCATTTTTAGCTGATGACCTCAAAATATTTCTAAAGGAGCATTCGCTGCCAGTTTATACTGATTTTGAGACTGAAGAGCGCGAAAAAAAACATGTAATTTCATAGTCATAACCTTCCAAAAAAGTTGATTTTTCAAAATTTGATTGCAGCACAGAAAGTTTTGTCTAAGTAGGTTTGCTTAGTGTTTTGAGAGAGCTCGGAAAATCAAAATGGTTGACTAATCAAGAGGTCCTTAAAACTTCTGTTGGATTTTTGAAAAATTTGTAACATTCGCCCAAATACTACATAGTGACGGAGCGTAGAAAAAGCACCTATTGACGACTGGCCGGCGTCAGTTACCTAAATTCTACCCGTTTTTCACCGTCTAGACCTAGCCAGTTGATTTTCTGGTCTGTTTAGGGCTAAGTAAAAAATTACCATTTTTAAGCCATCAGTCAAACGACTTTTGATCAGCTTTCGTTACATGCGAAGATAACCACATAACTGGGTCTCGGATCCCCAGACTACGTGATTACCATTAAAAACACGGATCGAATATCATATTTTTATTATGTTTTTAGTGACAGTTATTGGAGATGGATTGACACTTTCCTCTTTCTAGCTACTCATGCTCTGAACTACAATGTAAAATTGGAGTTAATTCAACTACTCAGGGCATCACAGCAGCTAAAAAGTGTATATTATAGATAGTCTACTAAGTCTCTGGGCACCGGGCCTCCAATTCCACTCCCCCTCTGAGATAACACTCTTATCTCCTTAATCTCGTGGCGCGGGAGGGTCCTGATCCGCTCCGGAGATCCCACTGAAGCCTCCTTTCTTCTTATCGGCTCCCGTTACGCGTCTTATCGTGCGTGATTGTCACGATAAGGGACTTCGTGTTTTTTCTTTCGTTTTTCTCTACTGATTCTCGTCTTGTCTATCCGGTTGTCTGTTTTTTTTCTGATTTTCTTGCCAAATATGGTCGTTTTTGCATTTCTCAGAAATAGACCGCTGAGAATCGAAATTTCGAAAATCAAAATTTCCAGATTATTTTGACCCTTTTTTTTACTGATAATCGATCGCTAAGGCCTTTATCGTCATTTTTCCAGTGCCGCGGCGGGTTCGACTGTGCCAATCCGGGGGAATGGCACAATTCTGAATCGAGTTTTTTACGTTCATCGGCAAATAATTTAATTCGTATTGGAGAGTATGGTCGATGATTTATTTGAAGAAGTGACGATGATAATTTGATACCCTATGGGTCCTCAGCCTCAGTATAGAAAATCTTTAGTAAAGAAACACGGCTAATTCAACGATTAAGTATATATGAATTGTGTTCCGTAAAACGATATCCCTTGTATGCAACCATGAGCGGACGCCCTCCCCTTCCCATCCCTCAGGGATTCTCAAGGATTCGTCCCACGAACTATTCATGAACTAAAGCGCAAAGATCGCTGACATTGTAGCAATTTATTTTAATGGTATCACGAACGAATGGACATATGGACTTAAAGACATAATGCGCTCGCTTGCTTTCTATTACTTTTTATGATTTATTGAATTATGTACTCAGTTTCCTATTAACATTTATCTATGCGCAACTGCTCAGCAAACAGCTTAAGTGCCAGGTAATTCGGAGGAACGTTACCATGATCACCTGTAAAAATACATGAAATTATTGTATCAGTTTTTTATGATCTCCATAAAGATTAGGACGGCAAAAGATTTTTATCCCGGCCATTTCTGAAATAGGTGCAGACAGGGGCGGATCTAGGATTTTCAAGAGGGAGGGGGACTGCTTTTTCCCTTTTTGGTAAAATTTTCTGCGCCGCAGGGAAAGTTTTGAAAAAACAGGCCAAAAATTCGCGTTTTTTCGGCGCGCGCTCCCCCCTCAAAATTAGTATATATTGGCGCCTAAGGCGCCTTTAGAAAATTTTTAGGGTCCATCACCAAAAAAATGGATATTGGAAAATATTACAAAGGGGGGACCCAGGGGGTTGAATCCCTGAGGAGGGGGGCATCCGCCCCCCTTAAATCAGCCCCTGGGTGTAGAGAAAGTGTGGGTAGGGATTCCCAAAGTTTAATTGCGTCAACGACGCTGAAAAAAGTACTGTTGAGGTATCATTTTCAAGTCTTTGTTCAATGAAAATATTAAAAGTTCATAACATATTTATCTGTCCGCTTAGAATTTGGGTTCCGTGGAATGTAAAAGCGCGGAAAAAGCCAGTTCATGTTTTTTTTAAATCGAAATTACTTTTCGATTTATAATGTAATTATATTTACAATGATAGAGTGCTATGTTTTTACTAGCTTCAGTTTTGTGTATTATTAAGAACCTTCTTTTTTTCTAACCTAAGTCGCAAATATTGGTGCCACTTTTGGGGCAAAAGTTCATGCCATATTGATCTGTCCGTTAAATTTGTCTTCTGTAGAGTGTATAGTAAGTTGTCGAAGAAATTTCTATCGAAAATAAAAACTCCTAGCTGTTAAATGTTTTTAATTTGCATGCAGAGTTCTCTTCCAAGCATATTGAGTTTTCCTCTCCGCTTTTCAAGGACTCTGATGTAGTTAACGATGATTTTTTTTTCGTTTTTTTTCCAGGAAAAATTAAAATTTGTTTAGGCTCAAATTTACTTTTTCACGGTTTGACCTCTGATTTTTTTTTAAATTGAGTTCATTTCGTTTGTTGAAAGAAAAGGAAACTCCACTATCGAACTGCGAAAGTGTAGAAGTCCCGAAAAATATGATCAACTTTTAGTTTTAAAAGTGGAGTTTAATTTTCAAGGTTTACCAGTGAAACAAATTGTCACTTATTGATCCAGTTTTCTGAAATTGGGTTGGGTTAATTTTATCAAGAAAGTGCCAATCATAAATTGTTCTAGAATTTCAAAGAATTTTAAGGTCATCCATTGATTTCTAAGAAATTCGAAAAATGTCATTTTTCAAAAATCAAGTCAGTAATTTTTCTGCTTACTTGCGTTCATTTTTTCTTTTCCAACTGTGTTTTGGCTATGTTTCCACCATTGCTATAAACTTTTCGCTCCAGTGCAAAAATAGTAGCTTTATATGCTATAACTTTTCTTATCTTTTTGATATGCAACTTGTCTTTTTTCCATTACGATCTTTCTGTCCGATTTTGGTCCGAATTTTTATAGAGTAATGAACGCAGTGAGTTATCTATACTGTATTTAATTCCGTCTGACATGTATCTTGCCATGTGTTAGCGTTTTTTTTGCAAGAGTTAAGGGCACAACGTATTTATACGTGGTTAGGCTATATCGTATATTGCATTGCTTAATTTTTTTTTTCGATTTTCCGGTGTGAATCTAATGTTTGTTCCACCGAGTTATAAGGTTACAACAAAATAGTGGGATGGTATCAGAGTTCTTCCAGGGTTGCAAATTTGGTCTCCAATTATGAATGCCCAAGTCCTTTTAGTTTACGAAATACGACGATTTTTGTGATTTTTCAAAATTTTTCAGAAATCTCAATTTACAAAATTATTCATAAAACTTGAAATTCCCAACCCTGTAGTTCGGTGCTGTCAGAGTACTCTCAAGGCTTGCGAATCTTGTCTCCAAATATGACGTCTCACTTTTTCGTAGTTTTCGAGATATGACGTGTTTAATGATTTCTTTTTAATTTGAAATCCCTAATCTTGTAGTTGGGTACTGCGAGGGTACTCTCAGAAATTTCAAAATCAAACGCGTCCAAATGCGACTGCTAAAATGCTAGTTATCGAGTTGGACGTTTTTTGTGATTTTTCAAAAAATTTACAGAAAACTCAAGTTTGTTTTTTTTTTCAAATTTTTAAATGCTCAACGCGATTTGGGGGCTGTCAGAATCCTATCGTGGGTTGCGAATCTCGCTTCCAGATTTGACTGTTCAAATATTTTTAGCCTACGAGATATGACGTTTTTTTTGTGATTAAAAAAAAAATCAGAAAACTTCAATTCGTTTTTTTCTTCAAATTTTGAAATTCCGAATCCTTAACTTGGAAGCTGTCAGAGAACTCTTTATGTTGCGATAATCGCCTCCAGATATGGCCACTCAAATCTTGTAAGGGGGGTTGTCAGCGTTATTTCAGTGGTTGCGAATCTTGACGTTAAACTTGGCTGCTTAATTCTTTCTAGTGTTAAAGATAAGACAAATTCGATTTTTTCAAAAAAAAAACTTTCAGAAAACCTAAGTTTAAATTTTTTTGAAGTTTTGAAGTTTTCAACAAGTTAGTTAGGTGCTGTCGGGTCACTCAATAGGGTTGCATTTATCTCCTCCACATATGACTGCTGAAGTTTTTGAATTTTCGAGGTGCGACGATTTTATGGCTAAAAATTTACAGAAAACTCAAATTTGTTTTTTTTCTTCAAATTTTTAAATGCCCAACGCGATTTGGGGGCTGTCAGAATCCTATCGTGGGTTGCGAATCTCGCTTTCAGATTTGACTGTTCAAATATTTGTAGCCTACGAGATATGACGTTTTTTTGTGATTTAAAAAAAATTCAGAAAACTTCAATTCGTTTTTTTCTTCAAATTTGGAAATTCCTAATCCTTAACTTGGAAGCTGTCAGAGAACTCTTTAATTTGCGAATATCGCCTCCAGATATGACCACTCAAATCTTTTTAATTTTCGAGATATGACGTTTTTTTTAAAGATTTTTCTGAAGTTTAATTTCTTGAAGCAAAGTTTAATTTAAAGTTTTTTTTTCAAATTTTAATTTTAATTTTTAAACCCCTTTCCTTGTAAGGGGGGCTGTCAGCGTTATTTCAGTGGTTGCGAATCTTGACTCCAAACTTGGCTGCTGAATTCTTTTTAGTGTTAAAGATGAGACATATTCGATTTTTTCAAAAAAAAACTTTCAGAAAACCTAAGTTTAATTTTTTTTTGAAGTTTTGAAGTTTTCAACAAGTTAGTTAGGTGCTGTCGGGTCACTCAATAGGGTTGCAATTATCTCCTCCACGTATGACTGCTGAAGTTTTTGAATTTTCGAGGTGCGACGATTTTATGGCTTTTAATTTTTTTTCGAAAATTAAATTTTCTCGAAGTTTGAGTTCCTAAACTGTAGTTGAGCACTCTGAGAGTACTCTCAGGAGCTGCAAATTTTGCATCCAAACGCGACTGCTCAAATGCTTTCAGTTTCAAAGATGTGTCGTTTTTTTATGTCAATTTAAAATTTTTCAAAGAGGTGAAAAACACAAAATTTATTGGTTTTTCAGAATTTGAATTAAAACAACTCATAGAAAAAATCCTAGCTAAATTTGTGCTTGCTGACTTTTTTTGTGCTTGCTGACTTGAGGTGCTGTCAGAGTACACTCAAAGATTGTAGATCTTTTTTTTTCATTATATGTGGCTTTTTTCATGAGTTCTCGAAGCACCGCAGGTGCATTACACGCTAGTCTTTTATAAGTCTTGCTGACTTTTTTTTTCAGGAAATTCTTAAAATTTATTCACCCTTAGTTTTGATTTTTCGCGCTGTGACTTGAAATTTTTTTTAAAAGTTCAGTGCATTTCCATTGTTAAAACGAAAGAAAACTCCACTATCGAACAGCAAAAGCCTAAAGGTCACGAAAAACGTGATCGACTTCTCATTTCGAAAATTGAAATTAATTATCAGGTTTCCCAGCGAAATAAAAGTTTCACGTATTGATCCAGTTTTCTCAATTTGGGTTAATGTTAGTAAAGAAGTGTCCATAAGATATTGTTTTACAAATTCAAAAAGCTTTAAGGCCATCTATTTTTTTTCTTCGAAGTTCAAAAGTTGAAGGTTCTTGAAAAAACATGTCAGTTTTTTTTCAGTTTCCTTGCGTTCATTACTCTTTTTCAACTGTTAGTTGGCTATGTTTGTACTGTTGTTTCTATTGTTTTCAAGTGATTGGTTTTGTAGTTGTTCAGGTTTTTCATAGTCTATTTGTTTGGTTTTGCTAACAATTTGATTTAACTGTAAATGTGGCTAAATAATTTTTTCGGCTTGAAGATACCGATCTTTCTCAATCAAACATACATTTTGCTGGTGTTGAAAAATTTCGTACCGTTTTGAGTTTTGTCTTCTGAAATCCGCACCGTTTTTCTTCTGGTTATGATGATTGGTATAAATGCTTCATTTTGTTCAGGAAACATTTTCGTCGTAAAAGTATCCGTCAACTCATTGTTCAAAAACAGCTGTAGCTGTTATGGGCCTGCCAGTTTTATTTAAACTCCCATTTATTCGGAATCGGAACAGACGAGATAAATCTTTAGCGGAAATATGATTATATGTACTCTGATACCTCAGATGAAGTATGACTAAAAGTAACCCCATTTAATGGGAAAGTATGTTTACATTTATTGCATAAATGAGAAGAAGAAAGTCTGTAGTGCAGATAGTTTTCAATCAAGTTTCAAGAGCCAAACAAAAACCGAAAGTGTCTATTTCTTCAGTTTAGTCCGGTTTTTCTTTTTCTGAAATCCGTAATTCTTGACTGGCAGTGCAGATATGGTAACATCATTTAAGCACTGTTGATATGGGAATTTGGTACAATATTTATGTGAGATTTTGACGTATTATCTTATCTTAACAGGTGTTCTGGCTGCAGACTATCTGGCTGGAGTCCCTGAAGGACGGGCAGGCGGCCAAGCAGAACTGCATCAAATTGAGCATGCCAGAGGACAAACAGTTTATCCTAGTTGCATCCTCCGCATCAGACAAAGTGAGCGTTTTTCTTTAAATCAACATTTGTATAGACGATATTTATTTGGATTGAATCAATTTTTGGATAGAAAAATATTCAATTTTTTGGAAGCAGTGTCCGTGTATTGATGAAAAGCTTGGCCTGGTGTTATTTTTCTAATTACTATATTATTGATTTATGTGTTCACTTTTTCTCTCCAACTGATAAATTCAAGTTTAGCTCTCTTTAAATGGGCTTGCTAGTTCTTTAGAATATACAATTTGTGGCAATCCCAACTGGCATTAAATTCCTTGATTTTGATTCAAGAATTCATTTGAGTGAGAGTAGTGGTTTTTGAGGACTATTTATGCTTTTTATAGCTCTTTATAGAAATGTTTTTTTAATCGTGTTCTCGCTACTGTTTGCGAAGCGCAGCTTCGCGCTCTGTGTTAACGTGTGCTATTCTTATACTGTTTACTGTTCGGTACAACGATCGAAAGATTTTAAACTATCAATAACATCGTTTCAATTTTAAAAATTGACTGGTCTAAAACTTTTTTCTTTTGCACTTTGAGTGCTGATTTCTGAATGGCTGAAATTATTTTTCGGCATACGGTTCTTCGGCCAAAAATTATTTGCACAATTTTGAAGAGAGTAGTGAATTTAGAGGGAGGGCGGACATATCCCCTCCCCTCTCAGGGATTCGACCCCCTGTTCACCCAAAGGTCTACCTTTGGTACTATTTGACGAAATCCATTTTTAGCTGATGACCTCAAAATATTTCTAAAGGAGCATTCGCTGCCAGTTTATACTGATTTTGAGACTGAAGAGCGCGAAAAAAAACATGTAATTTCATAGTCATAACCTTCCAAAAAAGTTGATTTTTCAAAATTTGATTGCAGCGCAGAAAGTTTTGTCTAAGTAGGTTTGCTTAGTGTTTTGAGAGAGCTCGGAAAATCAAAATGGTTGACTAATCAAGAGGTCCTTAAAACTTCTGTTGGATTTTTGAAAAATTTGTAACATTCGCCCAAATACTACATAGTGACGGAGCGTAGAAAAAGCACCTATTGACGACTGGCCGGCGTCAGTTACCTAAATTCTACCCGTTTTTCACCGTCTAGACCTAGCCAGTTGATTTTCTGGTCTGTTTAGGGCTAAGTAAAAAATTACCATTTTTAGGCCATCAGTCAAACGACTTTTGATCAGCTTTCGTTACATGCGAAGATAACCACATAACTGGGTCTCGGATCCCCAGACTACGTGATTACCATTAAAAACACGGATCGAATATCATATTTTATTATGTTTTTAGTGACAGTTATTGGAGATGGATTGACACTTTCCTCTTTCTAGCTACTCATGCTCTGAACTACAATGTAAAATTGGAGTTAATTCAACTACTCAGGGCATCACAGCAGCTAAAAAGTGTATATTATAGATAGTCTACTAAGTCTCTGGGCACCGGGCCTCCAATTCCACTCCCCCTCTGAGATAACACTCTTATCTCCTTAATCTCGTGGCGCGGGAGGGTCCTGATCCGCTCCGGAGATCCCACTGAAGCCTCCTTTCTTCTTATCGGCTCCCGTTACGCGTCTTATCGTGCGTGATTGTCACGATAAGGGACTTCGTGTTTTTTCTTTCGTTTTTCTCTACTGATTCTCGTCTTGTCTATCCGGTTGTCTGTTTTTTTCTGATTTTCTTGCCAAATATGGTCGTTTTTGCATTTCTCAGAAATAGACCGCTGAGAATCGAAATTTCGAAAATCAAAATTTCCAGATTATTTTGACCCTTTTTTTTTACTGATAATCGATCGCTAAGGCCTTTATCGTCATTTTTCCAGTGCCGCGGCGGGTTCGACTGTGCCAATCCGGGGGAATGGCACAATTCTGAATCGAGTTTTTTACGTTCATCGGCAAATAATTTAATTCGTATTGGAGAGTATGGTCGATGATTTATTTGAAGAAGTGACGATGATAATTTGATACCCTATGGGTCCTCAGCCTCAGTATAGAAAATCTTTAGTAAAGAAACACGGCTAATTCAACGATTAAGTATATATGAATTGTGTTCCGTAAAACGATATCCCTTGTATGCAACCATGAGCGGACGCCCTCCCCTTCCCATCCCTCAGGGATTCTCAAGGATTCGTCCCACTGTAGACTCCTTTTGCTAAATTTTTAAGACAACCAACTTTGGCAGACCGACACTAAAAATGTGCTACATTTTTACCCCTTTTGCTACATTTTTAAGACAACCAACTTTGGCAGACCGACACTAAAAATTTATACTAGTAGTGTCTCTTTGTGGGGGTAGCGCGCGCTGTAGAACGTTATTTTTTGGTCAAACTTTTCAGAAGTTTTTTCGAAAGTTTGCCTGCGGTGCAAAAATTTTCGTCAAAGTGAAGTCTATGTAATGATTTGGGAGAGGAGCTCAGAAAATCGTTTTGGCCCACGGAAAAAAATACCTTTTTTTACATTTTTGTTTTGAGAATCCGCCCCTCCCCTCGAGCAAAACGTAGATCCGCCCCTTTATTCAAATATCGTGTAAACTCTGTGTTTTGTTTTACAATAGAGAGATGGGTAGTTAACCAGATCCACATTTTTGTTTTGTGTTGTTTCTGATGTAATGAAAAAATTGGTTTGGTTCTTTATTGCCCTTTCATTTACTTCGTCGCCAGTATTATTTTTTTAAGATCAATGCAACCATGTCTTTGACATCTAACTGTCAATAAATGTAGTTTTTTGTCCAAAAAATCAATTTGTGGAAATATTTGCGGTGTGCGAGAAGTTTTGACATCTTTTCGAAAAATGTGTTCTTTTTAAACATGCGAAGTGTAGCTTTTTTTCTCTGTTTTTTTGCAGAGTTCAGCGTCGCCTGTATTGAATTTAGAATGTCATTCAAACTAATTCGTGTTAGATTATCATAGTTTTAGGAACTATCAGAAAAAACACGGACCGCTGATTTAAAGATTCTTTTTTTTTCTCATTGAAGGGCGTGCTAGTGTGATATGGGCCGCGTATCACTAGTACGCACGTAAAGTATGAAAAGTTTAAAATAGTATTTATTTTATAAACGAGGTTAACCATCCTCCCCATTCCCCCTATAAAGAAAGAATCGAACAGTTATATGTATACGAAGTTTGGGATCTTGTTAACTATCCCCCTCCCCTTTTGGACCTTGTTAACTATCCCCCCCCCCCCTATGCATGTATTATTTTTGACTACCAGTTTAGTATAAAATATGAATTTCAAAAATGTCAACAATTGAGTGGGTTTTCATTTTTGCGCTTTCCTACTTGTATTGCTCACTATTTATTGTATTACTCACCATCAGTTGGAGGCTTAAGTTTTATGAAAACGCCAATAACTAGTGAAGAAAGATAATAAATTCAAAAATTCTTGAATAAAATTTTCAAATTAATCATATTTCACAACTTCATAAGAAAATATTCGGCTTGAAGTCCCTAATTTTACGGTTCGGCTTGATGTCCGGCACCCAATAAATAAGTTGCATTAGTTAGAGTCCCTGACGGCATAAAGACTAAACTGCCGAAATTTATAAATGGACACTCAGCATGCATAAAATTTGAAAATTCAAGAATTGAGAATTCTAATTTTGCTGCATTCTGATTGGTCGAAAAATCGAACATTTTGATCTGATTAAAATTGTCACCCGGGTGGAGATTGTTAAGTAGATGCACTCTTCTGTCAATTGCCATCCATCTTTCATGGTCTTTCAAATGTTATGAATGCTGAGTGTCCGTTTATAAATTTCGGCCGTTTAGTCTTTATGCCGTCAGCATGCAACTTATTCATTTCACATGCTGTGTTGTATACAAATACGTATAAGCTAGTCTTTTCATTATTATTTCCTTGTGAAAACAGAAAGTGCAAGAGTTAGTTAATATAACACTTAATTATAAGATGTTAACTAATGAAGAGGATTTAGTTACCACAAAAGGTATGTATTATGTGGAAAGAAAAACTATTTAATTTTCAAAATGTCCACCAATAATTATATTTTAATAGGCTGTGATTGTTAATGTTAGCATAAATATTCCTAGCTTTCTGTAAGCCTTAGGAATTTTTTGTAAAGGCTTGATTCTTTCTTATCAAGTCTCTAATAATGTAACGAACATTTAAGAGCAGAGTACAATGCAGAATTCAATGCAGTGTATGTTGATGTGTCAGGTTGATAAATCAATCAGCTGCAATCGCGAAGATAATGTGTCTCGGCGGTTTTTTAATGTTGAAATGATTTCCATGGACAATGTTAACTTGATCAAATTTACATTTCAATTTTTTTCGAAACAATTTCATCTAATTTAGGCTCAAACAGGCCCTTTTCTCTGTCGGTATCTTGTTAAATATTCCCCCACCCATATTTCGATTTACAGAAATCGACTTCGGCATTATTCGACTGCCACATTAATACCCCCCCCCCCCCCCTATGGTACCTTGTAAAGAATCCCCCCCCCCCCCCTCTCTATAAAAACACATTTCATTTATGCTCAACTGGATTGATGTTGTATTTCTCACAAATGTGTTCTGTCGCATTCCTATTGGTTGACGTTATTTCAATTCGCATTTCTATTGGTTGACGTTATTTCAATAAATTTCATCCAAACCTTGTTAACTACTCCCCCTTCCTATTGCAATAGGGGGGAGGGGGGGATAGTTAACATGATTCAAACAATTTTCAGATGATATATCTAGTTAAAATTGCGGATCAAGTTAACCTCCCGCCCAGATAGACCAAGTTAAGATCTTGCACCCCAGCATTTAATTTGCTAAGCGCTGCATGTAAAATGCTCGATTCTGATTGACTGAAAATTACTAACTTAGAACCAACATCCTTCACCGCCCCCCCCCCCCTCGCCCCCGAAGGTGTAAACTTGGTCTAAAATTTCTAATATATGTAATTATAGGCAGGTGCGGATTTAGGGGTGGGTGGGAGCGGACGCCCCCTCAGGGATTCGACCCCCTGCCGACCCAAAGGTTCCCCCTTTGTACTTTTTTGAGATATCCATTTTTGGTAAC